GAGGTAAAGGTAGCGTGGCCAAGTGGTTAGGGCGTAAGGACTTTGAATCCGGAGGTCGTGGGCTCAAGTCCTATCTGACCAAAAGCTGGTGTTGTTCTCGATAACTGACCGGGGTCCAGTACAGTTTATAACAAACCTAAAGTAATTATTTTTTGCAGTAAAAGCTATAGTAGCAAGTGGAATCCATTTTTTATTTATTTTTTCTCGCCTTACGGGCGAGAAGGGGAGGAAGAACGTTTTTAATATAGCAATTAAGCCGATGGCCTACATCGAAAGTGCGATAACAAAAGAGGCGCCGGCCTTCAAGAAGGACGGATACCGTCTTTTGTTCTAATAACTATTTTTTTTTTTCGTTTGTTCAGCTCTCTGTGGTGTCTGACAGTGAGAAATCTTTCAGAGTGGAGGTACGTTTTCACTAGATTTCTCAAAACATTAACGAAACAGAAAGCGATGAGGAAATTATCAAACAAGAAAGTAAAACTTGAGGTCACCGGGTCTAACAATTTGGAAGTAAAAGTTTTTAGCAGTGATTAGCAGCTTCTGGAGACATCACGATGGGAATTCAAAAATGGGAATTATCTCAAGAAAACTGGGTCAGGAACATAAATCCATGTTTGACCATTTTAAAAACTTGCAGATGAGAACTAAGTTTCAAAATCGAAGCCCCTAGTCACGTTCAATATTTGTCCTTTTTTCGGCTGGCCTTGACAAAGGCGAAGCTGGATATCATGGATAAACAACTTAATTTTTGTCATCCACAATATCCAGCTTCGCCTCAGGTGATTCTATTAGTTTGTTTAAATATGGATAATACTTTTTCAAAAGGGAAATTCTGCTTTGGTTACTCAATACGTAGGTTTCTAAACTTATCGTATGGCAAAAACGAAAAATTACAAATGATTAGATGGAAGCCATGATGGCTGCTCAGTTGGTAGAGGATTGCAGGAAGTATTGCAGATGTCATGGGTTTGAATCCCGTTTAAGCCTGAATCTTTTTGCGTAGCAAACTCCTCAACGTCTTCCACTGCAGCAATCAAATGCCGCTATCAGCTACCTACTAAATATAAAATATATATCATATAACCCGGCATACCCCAAAGCAGTTTGCCAAATTATATCATTTGCTTAAAGAGTATTTGACGATGTTAAGAACTAGCAGATGAGAGCTACATTTGAAAATTGAAGCCCTTACTTACTTTAGTAGTTTAGTTACTTTTAAATATTTGTTTTTTTTTAGCTGGCCATGACAAAGGCGAAGCTTAGCATTATGGACGATAAACTGTTAAATTCTGCCAAAGAGGTAACTCTATCAATTTATTTAAATACTTTAATATTTTTGGGAAACGAAAAATTCTGCTTAGGAACCTCCATAATTAACTTTTCCATAATATGGAAACTATGATAGCTCAGTGGCTAGAGTACCTGCACCGATATCACGGAGGTCATGGCTTTGATTTCTGTTGAAGCTTGAAGTTTTTCGGGCGTCATTTTCCCAGTTGCCTAAACTGCATGGAAAACTGCGAAGATCTTTAGTATTTCACAGGGCTAGCAAATAACCGGCAATAATAGGGAATGCCCGTCTCGCCCTGCACGATTAGGACAGGCCCTGACATTTCATGCACTCGACAAGAGACGTTCAAGATATAATTTCCAATACTGGTCAGCTCCGCTTTCTGAACTATATAGAATCATTTATTACGAATTTGCATTAATGTTGGGTTCTCTTTAGCTGGCTTCATGGAAGGATAAGGCTTCTGAAGAAGAAAGGGAGCTGACAGAGGCACTGAACGAGGTAAGATGTTTACCAGTTTGCACGGATATAGGAGGCAGCGTGGCCGAGTGGTTAGGGCATCGAACTTGAAACCCGGAAGTCGGGGGCTCAATTGCCAGTTCTGACTTGTGGCTGGTGTTGTTTTCGGTAGTCCCTTGTTGTAATCCCTAGCCACGCTTCAAACATAACCAACTGGTTTGCCTTCTGTCGGTTCAGATTTCTAATCGCTTAATCTGTGAAAATTGTACCTGAAAATTTTGCATTTATGATTGTTCTTTTTAGCTGGCATCATTTAAGAATAGAACTTCTGAAAAAGAAAGGCAGTTGACTGAAGCGCTGAACGAGGTAAAAGTTTCTAGAATGCTACAAACCTATGGTATTTCCCATTGCAATAAAGTGATAGATAGCCCTGTAATTATTGTCGACGTTTATGATCGAAGTGGAGTTCAATTTTATTTAAGTATTGCGTGACATGCGAGGAGGAAGAGGTTATAATACGAAAGAGGACTTTTAAATCTTCCTTTCAGCTTAGTTTTTCTTATGGCTGGTCTGTCCTTTTGTTCGAGCGCTCACGTTCTACATGTACGTTCAATGTTTCTGTAACTTTATGTAAGTGAACTGTCAAGAGTTAAAATACAGATTGAGTATGCTCTCTGAGCTGTGATGAACAATGATAAAAATTTCAATGAACAATGAAAAAACTTTTCATATAATTAATGGATGGAACTAACCTTAACTGCATTAATCAAGCCTGCTGTGAAACTCTATGTGTGCAATGGTCTAGCACATATATTGATCTACTTAGTACTAGTGGGTTATTCTAATCTAACTGGCAGGCAATTTTTTCATCTTTCAGGCTAAATATGTACTTATGTATATGGTACCTTTTTTACCAAATTTCAGCCTGAGTGTTCTTAATCAACTTGTTCTTTTATGCGGGTTTTTACTGTAGCGGTGTTTTCGATGGGATATAGCAGCATTCCAATTCTGAATTCAATACTTATTCCAGTAATGTTTGCAGTAGCGTTTTCCAGTAATGATTGCTTACAAACCTTACAATGTTTGCAACATCTTTCTATCAACCAAGCGATAGGTGAAGAGATGTTTAAGATATAATTTCAATTACTAATCAATTCTGCTTTCTGAACTGTGGATGGTTATTGACTAAAAATTTGCATTGATGTTTGGTTCTTTTTAGCTGGCGTCATGGAAAGATAAAGCTTCTGAAAAAGAAAGGCAACTAGCCGATACGTTGAACGAGGTAAAGGTAGCGTAGCCGAGTGGTTAGGGTGTAGGACTTTGAATTCGGAGGTCGCGGGCTCAAGTCCTATCTTATCGGTAACTGACCGGGACCAATATGGTTTATAGCAAACCTAAAGTAATGATTTTTTTTGCAGTAAAAGCTATATTAGCATAGTGGAATCCATTTTTTTCTTTTTTCTTGCCTTACGTGCGAGAACGGGAGGGGGACGTTTTCAGTATAGCAATTAAGCCGATGGCCTACATCGAAAGTGCGATAACAAACAGAGGCACCGCCCTGATACCATCCGTTGTTCTAATAACTATAATTTTTTTGTTTGTTCAGCTCTCTGTGGTGTCTGATAATGAGACTTCTGTCAGAGTGGAGGTACGCTTTAACTGTATTTCTCATTCTCATAAAACATTAACAAAGCAGGAAGCGATGAGGAAATCATCGAACAAGAAAGTAAAACTTGAGGTCACCGGGTCTAACAATTTGGATGAAAAAGTTCTTAACAGTGATTAGTAGCTTCTGGAGACATCACAAAGGGAATTCAAAAATGGGAATTCATTTCAGGAAGCTTGGTTGGGAACATAATTCTTTGTTTGACGATTTTAAAAACTTGCAGATGAGAGCTACATTTCAAAACCAAAGCCCTTGGTCACACCAATATCTGTTATTTTTTCAGCTGGCCTTGACAAAGGCGAAGCTGAATATCATGGATAATCAACTTAAATTTTGTCATCCATAATATCCAGTTTCGCCTTAGGTAATTCTACTAGTGTGTTTAAATATGGATAATACTTTTGGCAAAAGACAAATTCCAAAGCAGTTTGCCAAATTATATGATTTGCTTAAAGAGTATTTGACGAAGATGAGAACTTGCAGGTGAAAGCTACATTTCAAAAGTGAAGCTCTCATGATCAGTTGCTTTAGTCACTTTCAACGTTCGTTTTTTTAGCTGGCCTTGGCAAAGGCGAAGCTTAGCATTACGGACGATAAACTGTTAAATTCTGCCAAAGAGGTAACTCTACTTATTTCCCTAAATACTCATAATATTTTTGAAGAAAGAAAAATTCTGGTTTGGAACCTCCATAATTAGCTTTCTCATGTTAACGCATGGCAACAAAAATATATACAAATAGATATATGGAAACTATGATAGCTCAGCGGCTAGAGCACTTGCACCGATTAAATACACACCAACAATTGTCATAACGTTGATCGCTCGCTGATCGCAAAGGGAATGCTTACTAATATGGCAAGTGTTCCCTTATACTTGCCGGACGTGGCGTGGAATTTCCGCGGCGGTATTTAATTATGATAAACAAGTCTATCACTCACATCACAGAGGTCATGGGTTTGAATCCGTTTGAAGTTTGAGGTATTTCAGACTTCATTTTCTCAGTTGCCTTTATTGAGTAGAAAACGGCGACGTTCTTTATTATTTTATAAGGCTAGAAAATAATCAACAATAGCCAGGAATGCCCGTCTACATGAGGACAGGCCCTGACATTTCATGCACTCGACAAGAAATGTTCAAGATATAATTTCCAGTTTCGCTTTCTGAACTGTGTAGAATCATTTATTACGAATTTGCATTAAAGTTGGGTTCTTTTTAGCTTGCTTCATGGAAGGACAAAGCTTCTGAAAAAGAAAGGGAACTAGCAGAGGCACTGAACGAGGTAAGATGTTTGCATGTTCAGACGGAGATAGGAGGCAGCGTGGCCGAGTGGTTAGGGCATCGATAATACGAAAGAGGATTTTTAAATGTTCCTTTCAGCTTAGTTTTTCTTATGGTTGGTCTGTCCTTTTGTTCGAGCGCTCACGTTCTACATGTACGTTCAATGTTTCTGTAACTTTGCGTAAGTGAACTGTCAAGAGTTAAAATACAGACTGATTCTGCATTATGAGCTGTGATGAATAATCATAAAATTTCGCATTAATTATTGGATACCTTTTTAGCTGGTCTCATGGAAGAATGAAGCTTCTGAGAATGAAAGGCAATTGGCAGATGCGTCGAACGAGGTAAAAGTTTCTAGAATGCTACAAACCTATGTTAGTTGCCTTCTACAGTAAAGTGATATATAGACCTGAGATTATTGTCAACGTTAATCACCGAAATGGAAGAGCTTCATCTCCAAACATAAGCTCGCCAGTAACTACTTTCAGAATCTGTCGTTTTATTTTTAGCTGGCCTTGACAAAGGCGAAATTGGACGTTGTGGAAGACCAACTGTTAAACTCTACAAAGGAGGTAATAACTTTGTTGTTTTCTTTAAATACAGATAAGTGCATTTCTCTTAAGTGGAAACTCTGCTTCCAATCCTCAATAATTAGCCTTCGATTGCTCTAAATGTGAAGTATTCAGTACTCGTTAAATTAACAATATAATATTTGCAATAATACCTGTTTTCTTTTAGATGACCTTGTTACATGAACAGATTTTGAACAAGGACGAGGAACTGGCAGTGAAAGACAACAAGGTAATAACCTCCATTCTTATTGTTATCTTCCGTCACCTTACCTCACGAAGCATCAACGGGCAATGAAGTGATGTTTTTCCTCTTTTGAGTTGTGTGAGGTTAGGTCACTTGCTTCACCCACTACTAGCTTCATGACTTTACTAGACTTTATGTGGAGACATTCTCGTTAAAAAAAAAAAATTACTCTCGCTCTTGCACCTTACGTCTGATCTTAGAGACCTTTTATTTTCCTTTATTCAATGAAGGAAATAGTAAGGTCCCTAAGATCAGACGTGAGGTTATAGCTGTATAGACCTTATTCATAAATGGCTGACAATTAAAATTCTTTTGTATGCATTTAATATACCCCAACTAACCTCGTTTGAGGGTAAAAATTCTTTTGAATTATCAACTCCAAAACGAGGTTAGTTGGCTAATTTTAATACCCACAAAAGAACTTTTAATTTTCAGCCATTTATGAATAGGGTGTATGTGGAGAATCAAAATAACGAAGTTGTTATACTGTAAGAGAACACGCATTTGAACACGCATTTGAAACCAGGTACTCTCTTTTATTAATTCCATAAATTCCTTTGTCATACAGTTTCGTTAGGGAGGATGTTTCTTAATTAAGGCTGGACATAGTTTGAAAACGGATTTTACGAGTGGTGGCACATATTCGAAAATTACCAGAAAGATTAAATTTCTGTTGAATGGTATTATCAATATAGAACTGTTTGTTAAAAGAAGCAAAATAGGACTTTTCTTTTACCATCATTTTAAATGGATGTGTCGCTGGTAAAAGTATGTTGTGAGGAAGGTTAAAGAACTGGAAAGTTGCCGTTTTCATTTCTTTTACCTTTCTCTCAACCTTCTAGATTTGTTGTGTAACTTCACTTACCTCACAGATATTTTGTGCTGTTTACTTTAGAACTAATACATGTAAGTGAGATGGAATGGAGTTGAAGTACTTTTCTATTAGATGCAGACAGTAAGAATCATAAACCATAATAATAACCCATCGTCAGTGCCATCAACATCTATGTTAAAGTACTTGAAGGTCTTTTCTGTTAGATACGGATAATAAGAGAGATAAACCATAATAATCCATCGTCATTGCCATCAACATCTACGTTAAAGTACTTGAAGGTCTTTTCTGTTAGATACGGATAATAAGAGAGATAAACCATAATAATCCATCGTCATTGCCATCAACATCTACGTTAAAGTACTTGAAGGTCTTTTCTGTTAGATACGGATAATAAGAGAGATAAACCATAATAATCCATCGTCATTGCCATCAACATCTACGTTAAAGTACTTGAAGGTCTTTTCTGTTAGATACGGATAATAAGAGAGATAAACCATAATAATCCATCGTCATTGCCATCAACATCTACGTTAAAGTACTTGAAGGTCTTTTCTGTTAGATACGGATAATAAGAGAGATAAACCATAATAATCCATCGTCATTGCCATCAACATCTACGTTAAAGTACTTGAAGGTCTTTTCTGTTAGATACGGATAATAAGAGAGATAAACCATAATAATCCATCGTCATTGCCATCAACATCTACGTTAAAGTACTTGAAGGTCTTTTCTGTTAGATACGGATAATAAGAGAGATAAACCATAATAATCCATCGTCATTGCCATCAACATCTACGTTAAAGTACTTGAAGGTCTTTTCTGTTAGATACGGATAATAAGAGAGATAAACCATAATAATCCATCGTCATTGCCATCAACATCTACGTTAAAGTACTTGAAGGTCTTTTCTGTTAGATACGGATAATAAGAGAGATAAACCATAATAATCCATCGTCATTGCCATCAACATCTACGTTAAAGTACTTGAAGGTCTTTTCTGTTAGATACGGATAATAAGAGAGATAAACCATAATAATCCATCGTCATTGCCATCAACATCTACGTTAAAGTACTTGAAGGTCTTTTCTGTTAGATACGGATAATAAGAGAGATAAACCATAATAATCCATCGTCATTGCCATCAACATCTACGTTAAAGTACTTGAAGGTCTTTTCTGTTAGATACGGATAATAAGAGAGATAAACCATAATAATCCATCGTCATTGCCATCAACATCTACGTTAAAGTACTTGAAGGTCTTTTCTGTTAGATACGGATAATAAGAGAGATAAACCATAATAATCCATCGTCATTGCCATCAACATCTACGTTAAAGTACTTGAAGGTCTTTTCTGTTAGATACGGATAATAAGAGAGATAAACCATAATAATCCATCGTCATTGCCATCAACATCTACGTTAAAGTACTTGAAGGTCTTTTCTGTTAGATACGGATAATAAGAGAGATAAACCATAATAATCCATCGTCATTGCCATCAACATCTACGTTAAAGTACTTGAAGGTCTTTTCTGTTAGATACGGATAATAAGAGAGATAAACCATAATAATCCATCGTCATTGCCATCAACATCTACGTTAAAGTACTTGAAGGTCTTTTCTGTTAGATACGGATAATAAGAGAGATAAACCATAATAATCCATCGTCATTGCCATCAACATCTACGTTAAAGTACTTGAAGGTCTTTTCTGTTAGATACGGATAATAAGAGAGATAAACCATAATAATCCATCGTCATTGCCATCAACATCTACGTTAAAGTACTTGAAGGTCTTTTCTGTTAGATACGGATAATAAGAGAGATAAACCATAATAATCCATCGTCATTGCCATCAACATCTACGTTAAAGTACTTGAAGGTCTTTTCTGTTAGATACGGATAATAAGAGAGATAAACCATAATAATCCATCGTCATTGCCATCAACATCTACGTTAAAGTACTTGAAGGTCTTTTCTGTTAGATACGGATAATAAGAGAGATAAACCATAATAATCCATCGTCATTGCCATCAACATCTACGTTAAAGTACTTGAAGGTCTTTTCTGTTAGATACGGATAATAAGAGAGATAAACCATAATAATCCATCGTCATTGCCATCAACATCTACGTTAAAGTACTTGAAGGTCTTTTCTGTTAGATACGGATAATAAGAGAGATAAACCATAATAATCCATCGTCATTGCCATCAACATCTACGTTAAAGTACTTGAAGGTCTTTTCTGTTAGATACGGATAATAAGAGAGATAAACCATAATAATCCATCGTCATTGCCATCAACATCTACGTTAAAGTACTTGAAGGTCTTTTCTGTTAGATACGGATAATAAGAGAGATAAACCATAATAATCCATCGTCATTGCCATCAACATCTACGTTAAAGTACTTGAAGGTCTTTTCTGTTAGATACGGATAATAAGAGAGATAAACCATAATAATCCATCGTCATTGCCATCAACATCTACGTTAAAGTACTTGAAGGTCTTTTCTGTTAGATACGGATAATAAGAGAGATAAACCATAATAATCCATCGTCATTGCCATCAACATCTACGTTAAAGTACTTGAAGGTCTTTTCTGTTAGATACGGATAATAAGAGAGATAAACCATAATAATCCATCGTCATTGCCATCAACATCTACGTTAAAGTACTTGAAGGTCTTTTCTGTTAGATACGGATAATAAGAGAGATAAACCATAATAATCCATCGTCATTGCCATCAACATCTACGTTAAAGTACTTGAAGGTCTTTTCTGTTAGATACGGATAATAAGAGAGATAAACCATAATAATCCATCGTCATTGCCATCAACATCTACGTTAAAGTACTTGAAGGTCTTTTCTGTTAGATACGGATAATAAGAGAGATAAACCATAATAATCCATCGTCATTGCCATCAACATCTACGTTAAAGTACTTGAAGGTCTTTTCTGTTAGATACGGATAATAAGAGAGATAAACCATAATAATCCATCGTCATTGCCATCAACATCTACGTTAAAGTACTTGAAGGTCTTTTCTGTTAGATACGGATAATAAGAGAGATAAACCATAATAATCCATCGTCATTGCCATCAACATCTACGTTAAAGTACTTGAAGGTCTTTTCTGTTAGATACGGATAATAAGAGAGATAAACCATAATAATCCATCGTCATTGCCATCAACATCTACGTTAAAGTACTTGAAGGTCTTTTCTGTTAGATACGGATAATAAGAGAGATAAACCATAATAATCCATCGTCATTGCCATCAACATCTACGTTAAAGTACTTGAAGGTCTTTTCTGTTAGATACGGATAATAAGAGAGATAACCCATAATAATCCATCGTCATTGCCATCAACATCTACGTTAAAGTACTTGAAGGTCTTTTCTATTAGATACGGACAATAAGAAATATAAACCATATATTAAACCATATAAACCATATAAACCATATAAACCATATAAACCATATGTTAAATCACTTTATACAAAGAAGAAAAGGGTGGTTACTCTAAACTGCGATTTAAACTACCTATAAGTAACTGTAATCGCCAACACCATCACCATGTACCAACGCGTCTCTGCCGGAAATGAGGACCACAAAAATACATGGAAAAGCAAAAATAATTCCAGGGCTTGGTTCTGAGGTTTTTACAGTATGAGTTATATTACCAAGGGGTACTGGGTCGTGTGTTCTCTTACCTTGGGTTGTGCGGAGTTAGTTCGTTCTCGAAAATTACTGATGAAATTTTAGAATATTAAGTTAGCTACAAATATGAACAAATATAATTCTGCTTTTTCAAAGTAAGTTAGAAAATGTTGCTGTTCATTTCCTTGTTTCATTAAATGGAAACATGGTGAGCAAGAACACGGAAATGAAAGTTGTGGAAACTAACGTAGCAACTTAGCTATGTTTTATCTTTGCCTTTACGTTGTGGACAATTTTACCATTTACACTACAGTGTAGGTATTAGTAACTGAAATAGACTAGAGCTAAAGGTGTTACATGCGGACAGTAACTATGAAGGCCCGTTTGTTCATGATGACCACGGAGAGTTAACTGAACCGTTTTAGTTTTTTTGAATTGTTAACAATTGCTTCCATCTGGTATGTCAAACAACCATCGAGGAATAAACAGTCGTTTTTTATTATTTTGGGTCCAGCAGAATGAAGCCATTCTTTAATCTCACCGATGAAATTTTAAAATTTTATCTTGACTGATCAATTAAAAAAAATGTTTTAAAAAATGGAGATATCTTGCTTTTTTGAATAAAACAACGAAATATTCACAATGATAGCTGAGTTCCATTGGATTGCCTCGTTTAAGGAAACAATTGTCAACAGAAACAATGAGTTTAGGAATGACAAAGAAATAAATATTTCTAACAATATCAGTCTTGATTTTTGGTAGGTTTCTTCATTAAATGAGGACATTCGGGAAAAAGAAAAGGAACTCGCGGTTGCAAACAACAAGGTAATAACCTAAAGTTATAATATTGCTCCTTGCCATTTCCATTGGATAGCCTCATTTAAGGAAACAATTGTGCACAGAAACAATGATTTAGGAACAACAAAGAAATAGTTTTTTTTTTAAACAATATCAGTCTTGATTTCATTTAGGTTTCTTCAATGAATGAGGATATTCAGAAAAAAGAAAAGGAACTCGCATTGGCAAACAACGAGGTACATGTAATGAGTTGAAGTTATAATATTGTTCCTCGCCATGTCCAGCTCCTTAGAAAGATATGTTGAGTTACTGCACTTACCTTGTAGATAATTTGTGCCGTTTACTTTAGCTCCAGTAAGTAAAAATGACTGAAGTAGATGCAGACACTCTGAAATGATGAGAAGACAATTTCACTTATGACCATGTCTATTATCTTAAAACATTAGCCGTTTATTTGGACGTTGTTTTGAATTCTTTCAAATCATCAGCATCAACAGCACCTGCACTACTTCTAAGATCAACCCCGTTCCCTCCCCGAAAATGAGTTCACTGAGAACGAAAAAGGAGGAGGTGTGATTTTGGGTACATTTTCATCTTTCTAAAACAAACGATAACATTCTTACAATAATGCTTGAAATTTCTAGGTGACCTCACTACATGACCAGTTTGTGAGAGAGGTGAAGGAAATTGAGATCGCAAAGAAGGGGGTAATGACTTCTAGATGTGTTCTGTTATCGTACTTCCATTGTAGCTTGATATTAAGTTTACTTTGGCAGTGGTAACAGAGCACTATGAAATACGTGTCAGTTCGTTGGTTAAGGACATTGATTGAGGAGACCTTTTCGATAATGTTTAAATTCTAGATCGCTGATTCCGTAAAATTTCAACTTTTTCTTCAATCCTATGTGATAATGAATCGTTAGATAATTGTCGCATATAAAATGATTATCATAACCACCATTCCTTTCCCGAACAGAAATTCAACAAAAAAACCCTTGTCAGCAAGTGTTACAGTTTACGTCAGACCGTCAGGCAGGAAAGGAATAGATTTATCTTTTTGGGGCCGTAAGGAATTTATAGGTCATTCTCTTAACTTATTTATCATTATCATCACCATTCCTTATAGCCCCCAGTGGGGTATAGGGCCTCTTAACTTATTTAACTTATTTAAAAATACTCAAAAGGACACCAGCGCGGCCATTATGTTGCCTTTTTGTCCTAAGCAGTGTTATTAGAGGCCTTAAGATCCACGCACGTTTACCGCAAACGTCTAACTGCGGTTTGAGGTTAGACGCGTGCCGTTCGCCGTTCATAAGTTAGTCGATTTAGATTGGAGTAACTGGAGCGAATAGAAATCATCCTGTCAATGTATTGAAAATTGTCAAAATTACGCCAAAATAAAAGGAAAAAAATTGTTTGTTTTCTAGCATGCGTAGCTTTCTCAAGAAATAAAACTTCATAAAACACACATTGACTTTAGCCGCCGCCATATTGCATTTCCACTAAGGATCAGTGCCTTTCTACAGACAACAATTGCTTGTTTGCCTGAAAATTATAACCAATTTGTTGAAAATAGGGTTATTTCATTCGATTTCAGCGTTTGTACGTGGCATAAAGTAAAATTCAAGCCAATAAAGCTTGAGGTAAACGACTTACGTGACAACCTGCCTCTTGACGTCGAAAACGCCAGACGAAAACATCGAACGCGACGTCTGGTTCTGGTCACGTGACCCCTAGCCGTTTGCGGTAAAGGTGGATCTAAAAGTCTATAATTTTCGCTTATACTCCAATATGAAAAGGCCCAAAACACCAATATGGAGATATTTTAAAGCGGATTGTTGAAAAGAGAGCTAATTTAAATTTTTAAACCAGATAAAGAAATATTCACAACAATGTCTTGATTTCTTTTAGATTTTTTCACTGAATGAGGCACTTCGGAAAAGAGGAAAGGAACTCAAATTAGCAAACAACGAGGTAATTTCATTACGTGTGTTTCATAATAGCATTTTCAAACGACAACACACTTACAATAATGCCTGAAATTTCTAGATGAGATCATTACATGACGAGTTTGTGGGAAAAGCGAATGAACTGGAGATCTCAAAGAAAGAGGTAACGACTACAGACGTGTTGTGTTACTGTTGCACTTACCTTGTAGCCTGATGTTTTGTTCTGTTTACTTTGGCAGTAGCAAGAGAATAAATATACATAACAATATCAGTCTTGATTTCTTAAAGGTTTCTTCACTGAATGAGGACCTTCGGAAAAGAGGAAAGCAACTCGCATCGGCAAATAACGAGGTAATAACTTCATTACGTCTATTTGATTACTGTAATTACGTTGTACAGTTTACTTCAACTCTGAATTGTAATTTCTATCTTTATGTTCCTTTTGGCTCTTTGAATCAGTCTGTATCATGTACTTCATGTAACAGTTTTTAATGCTCAAAATTATCTTTGGTCCAGGTGGTTTTACTGTCAAACAAGCTCAGTGCGATGAACGAAATGGAACTGTCATTAAGAGCTGAGGTAAGACTAAAAGCACTTTTACTTAAAAAAACTGTTGCATTGTTAGAATAATGAATAAAAGTGATTGCCGTCAGGAGAGTTAGGAAATCGTTTCAGATTAATACGGTTTTAAATTTTAAAGTAGTCTTTCACTTAAATGGAAGTTATAAATGATACTCGTTTTGATATGCAGTTATTGAAAGCTAGAGAAAAGGACTGCAAGGAGTGTAAGGGATTACGGTAAGAAACAGTTCTTGTGAATTTGACGCTGTTCTTTAAATGTTTCTGTCTTTCCCTGGATGTATATTAAATTTCAAAACATTTTCAAAACCGAAATTGTCTGAGGTCATTTGGTATGAAAAAAACATCCAGAAAAAGGTTTTCGTTATCAATTCCTTTCAGAAAATAATACTGATAACCATGTATGGATCACCCTTGGGAGGGGTGCGTTAAACCTTCGACAAGAACAATTTTTTTTATTTTTTCTGACGCTTCAGTAAGATGTATCAAGACTTGATGTCGGATTATGAAAATCAGGACAAGTTCAGGAGAATTCAAGTGAGTGCATTGACGCTAAGTATTTTCGATAACAACTGAAATCATAAAATTATTTTCAGTAGTTCTTAGTTAAGAGACCCTGTTAGGGGTAAATTCCGACAAGCGACATGGCCTTGAAAAGGCGACATGAGAGCTATGAATTAGCGAAGAACGACGGAATACTCCAGCGAAATAGAGAAAGCGACACCAATGGCAAGATAGACCGACAACGAATTTCGGAACTGAGAATACATCGATTGTTTTAAACGTCTGAGTCGAAGTGAAGACGCATTTCCAGAGTTTTAAATGTGTTTTCCTCTCTCACGCGCGGTGTCGACGGGTCGTGAAACCCAGGCTTTCTTATATATGCTAAAACGGCCACGTCCAATAAATCGAGTCCGTCATTGCTGAGTACTTTTTCTCACTCTCAGCTGAGTGAGCCCTAAAACGCGTAAAAACACGCTTAAGGAAAAAGGAAAGAGATCTTCGACCGTCTGCTTCATATTTTTATGAGTGGGTCACCAGTGAAAGAATATGAAGCTGTATTATCAACAAATGGCATTATGGAAAGAAAAGAGAGACAGGGGAAAGCTGCCAAGGTCTTCTCGTCTTCAGCAGAAGATAAGGGTTACGCCAAATTCAAAGGAAGAATATAGATAGGAGAGATTATCTCATTGAGGCCGTTGAGATGTTGAGTTAAAGAACAGTTGTTAAACATAACATGGTAAAAATAGTCATAGGTTCGATTGTACATTAGGTACAAATACTGACTGGAAAATGGCTGAAAATAGCAATTCCGAGCGTCTAAATTTCAAAAGTTCCTGGGG